GCAGAAGCTACAGAGACTAGAAGAACTTGATTCTTAATAAGATATGCTATTAAATTGTAGTGTATACTGCTATATAGAGTTAGATATAAGAATAAAAACTTGTCTGATTCTCTAAAAGATGAAAGATGAGTGTACACTCTTATATATACAGTGATTGTTTTTATAGAGATTAACTCTTATAGAAGAAGTAATCATCTATAAAGAGAAGAACAGAGACTCTGTAGAGAAGAAGTGAATACTCTTATAAAAGAAGTAATCACATATGAAGAAAAGAATGAAGACTCTGTAGAGAAGAAGTGAAAGCTCTTATAGAAGAAGTGATTATATATGAAGAAAAGAACAGAGAAAGAAAATAGAAGTGAAAGCTTTAGAAAACAGTAAGAGATGAAGTAGAAGCTAGAGTTGAATAGAGAATTGACTTGAATAGAGGGCGGAAGCATGCCACATCTATATTTTAATTTTTAAGAATTTTTTTATTTTTTTATTATAATTTTTTTTATAAATTACAAGTAAAATATTGACAATTCTTGAAATTTTAAAATTTGAAAAATAATTTATTAAATATAAATATATTTAAATTACAACTTTAAAGTATTAATAATACACTGTTATTACAAAAATAGTATTTTAAAATATAAAAATTTATATAAAAATTTAAATAAATTAATAATAAATAAGAATTTCAAGATAAAATTTTATATTTTATTAAAAATATATATAATCTATAACATATTTAATTTTTATATGAAAATAATTTATATTTATAAATATATTTATAAATATAGACTGTGTATTTTATTTTAAATTAGTATTTTAAAAAGCTTAATAAATTAATAATTATATGTTATTTTCTCATAGAAATTTAATATAAAATAATATATATCTACAAATTATCATTCTGTTTTTTAGAATAGTTTTAAATAAATATTCATTGAGATATGAATATTTGAAGTTGATTGTAATTGATTTACAAAGGCGAGTGTTAGGTGGAAACGAGCGTTAGGTGGAAACGAGCGTTAGGTGGTTGATTACGTTAACTACGGAGTAGTGGAACGAGGTAGCCGGAAAGTCCCCCCCCCAGATTCCAAAAACGTCACTTTAGATCCCAGTCAAAAACGCACTCTCCGTCATTGTATTCGCTCCTAAGGACCATCAGATACTGGCCCGAGATTCTCATCTCAGATCTAAACACCCTTGGTCACCTCGTTCCTTTGGCCAAATGTTAAACTCTACCCTACCTCCTCACATAATGCACGTCTAAAGACCTATGCCATCCTGGGTCTGAAGTGCCCAAAAAACAATTATCTTGATGGAACTAGCTCCTGATCAGAACAATAGAAGTCAAGGGTTATGATCAACATACAACAGGTTGCTGCCGGTTATGTTGAAAATATTAAACACGAAGTATATGTTCGCCATATGTACTAGGTTATTTTTCAAACACAGGATTAGAGAATAGTTGTAACGCATTAAAAAGAATAGAACCTGATAGAAACTCATAAGTGACTGGAGAGGGAATGGACGTGGATACAAAATATTTAGGTTTGCAGATGGTGCAAACTTAGTTGATTTAATCCTAGCGGGAACTCTAATCTTGGCAGTCGGCAGTCGGCATTCGGCTCTCGATGGCCGGCAATCAATGACTGTTACAATGTATTGACAAGAGACTGATTTGAATGAGTCACTAGATACGGCTTATTCTAATGTTTAAGGGATAATGTGTCTATACTCTTCTATCTCTTTGAAAGATCATATATCTTCTATAGCTGAAACCTAGCTCTCTTTCTTGTACATGTACTGTAACTACTTACTTTCGGCGATCCGCTTCTCGGTGTCGCCCTGCTCGCGTAAGCATGGTAGTCAGGTACTATGCAGTGTTGAAGGCTCCGGGGCTTGCGCATGAGCTTAAAGAAAGTATTACGCGGCATTAGACAATATGAGATATGACCATCTAACTAAATATACATGAAATTGTGGGCTACTTGAGTGGAAAATACAATATCTATTGAGTTCAAAATTTGTAACAGCCATACCACTATTCTCATATGATTTCTCTATTTTTTTGATAAATTCCTTTCCTTCTACTTCTACAAGTTGGATCAAACTTGCCCATTCTTAAAAGTCAACTATTCTTATTGGCCGGATAATGTGTGGGCTTGTGTGGTACTTCACTCACTATTGCTTGTGTTGTCACTCTGTGAAGCAGACTGTCTTCACTAGAAAGCCTCTATCTGCTTCTTTTTAATTAGTCTGTCTCTTGCAGTACTCTCTCATATCTATCATCTTTGTCTCCTATATTCTTACACTCTTATTCTCTCACAACTCCCTACTGACCCAATTACTTTCAATTTGGTTCAGTTTCAGTCATCTACGCAACTACCTGGCCTTTCAACTACCCTTGTTAAGAAACTCGTTGACCTCTCGGTTGTTTATCATCACGGTTACCTGGGACGATGCCGCTGATCGTGCTCTTCTGCTCAATGTTATTGACCCGGTTGCGAAACCCAACTGGGAGCGTGTTTCTGGTGCTATGGGAGATGGCTTCAGTGCTGAGGCTTGTCGGTACAATGATTCTCCAATTGTTATATTTCAATCCCTGTACTGTTTCTAGATGTCTAGTATTCTTTTGCCATTATTCTATCTCATATCCCATCTTCAGGCCAAGCATGACTGATGGGCTAGCAGGCAACACTTTCGAAAGCTCAAAGCTGAGGCTTTAGGGGAAGGCTCGCCCGCTGCTACGACATCTTCTACTCCACCAAAACCAAACGCAAGGCGAACGGGCCAAATGGGACTGATGCCGCCCCAGCTAAAAACCCGCTATTCCTTCTGTTATTGTCCCGTCTCTCCGGTAAGCGGGTCTCGACACCACTCCTTTGCACACTAATACGCCGCTGACAATTTATATAGCGGGTCATTGAAAAAGAAGCAATTAGTATGGATCATGAATTCGAAGCTGTAAACTTAACTGTTCTATGTTTTTACTCGCTCAGCTAGTTAATTTCGCGAAATACATTGTTTTCTCCCTGACAGTTTGAGGCAATGGTGGTGTTTACATTTGCAGCGAAGGCCATACTTTCAGCATTCAGTCAAGGACACAGCGGGCCTCTTTTCGCGAATCTTAGATACGATAATGTCTCTTTGATTTCGTTTTCGTTGGTTTGATCATTGTTTGTTTTCGAAAACTATGCACCCAAAATTGTAGTTGTAATTGTATGGGAAGAAAAGAAATATTGCACCAAGATGATGAAGGCTGTAACGCCTTGGTTGATATCACACTACCGTGTCTCGTGCTTGACGATGTGATCCGAAATTTTGTTATGCATGTGCGTTGTTGGAAGCTAGAATGACGCAGCAGATCCTATCTGACGCGGTAAGGGCTCTATGGAGAAAGCAGCGACTACTTTCAATATTTTGGGAATATCCAACCTCGCAGCTGTCGCAAACGACCTTGGCTGTTGTGAGGGATGGAAACAATGGAACGCCAGCATATTACCGCCTATCTAGTTTATAGCTTCATTGCAGAAAAGCGAAAAAATGAATTTTTTTCTTTTTTTCTTGTTTTTTCCTTTTCTTTTCTTTTCTTTCTTTTCTTTTTCTTTTCAGTTAGAGAGGGTATTCATTATCCATCAACGCTTGACGTATCTCACCTGTTGGACCATGCAGTTCCTACGGTTAGAATGAACTAGGAATTATAGCACATCATCCCTCTGTAGCTCTTGCATAGCCGGGATTCTAATCCCACAAACAGATTGATTCAAGGATAGAGATGCGAAGTAGTTCCCTTACTTTTGTGTCCTCGGAGAATACCTGATAGTTCTGTGTCTGGATGGCTTGTTTCTTACTCTCAATAGCCAAAGCGGAAGTTCGCCTAGTAGCAGTGAATGAAGTGTTATATTCCTCAGGCCTCAGAACAACATTCGAGTCCTTTATCTACACATAATTCATGCTGTTTCTGCAGTAGAGCCTTTTACCCTCTTTCCCACATCTCGAACAACTGTGATAGATCATACTGGTCGACATTTCTGTTCCGTCTCCAGGATCTAGCTGCTAACCCTAATCTTAATCTAAAAGTACGAACATTTGGGCTTTAGCTTCAATGGCCAAAATGCGGATGACCTGGGATAGCCCTAATGATGCAAAGGTATGTGAAATGACAAGACTTGCAATTGAGACTTTTCAAAGCAACTAACGCTGCTTAAGCTCCTGAGGGGAATCCTCAAGTACGCCAAACTTGGAAAGAAAGGTTACCAAGAGTTGGCAGACCATATGGGTAATGGTAAGGGGAAATATCACTGCCAAGCTGTGTTTGTTTTGTATTACAAGGGACCTTTTCGTTGGATGGTAAATCATGGGCAGCTCTAACTATACTAATGTTTCTCTAGGATGCACCGCGATGGCTATCCAGAAACGTATTCAAAAACTCCAGGGAGCTGGCGCCAAAGATGCTTCCGAGTTATCTCCTCGATTGACTCCAAATCAGAGTGCATTGACGGGCCGCACGACAATCAATGAAGCCTTCGATGGAGCCGCTAGGTCAAGCACCCCGGAACCAAAGAAACGCAAGATGGTGGTTCAAGACCATAGCGAAGACGAAGACCAGACTTTTGACTCTCCAACGAAAAGATTGAAGCTAGGAAAGATGGGGCAAATCAAGTTGGAGCCAACCAATGAAACAGTAGAGCACTACGTGTAATGTTAAGAGTGGCTGATGGTTTCACTACATCACTCTTTAAAACAGATATGTTTCTCGTTGGTATAGAGACCATGGTACAGTTGATAGGGGCAGGTCAGTGGATTGTAACTAGCTGCGAATAAGGGTTTATGTAACTTATGCTTGAGCTATCAGTTTGGATTTCCAATGTCAAATCAAATTTTGTTCCACGTCTTCCATCTAAAAAAAATATCTAACGTTACTAGGTAGTAAATTAAAAGGAAAGTTAGAATAGAACATAAGTAAGAGTGTGTTGTGAAGGGATAAATTAAAAGGAAAGTTAGAATAGAACATAAGTAAGAGTGTGTTGTGAAGGGAAAATTGACAGTGAATATTGTGTTGCTCTCATCTTTTTGTTTTAGGCAAATCTTAACAAGGGTCAAATCTATGAATCTTCTCCGCCCCACCAAAAAAAAGGCCTACACCCTGTTTCTCTCTCAATTGCATCTACAAAAACCTCAGTTTGCAGGGTCTGAGACGTTTCAAGTCACAACAGCTCGAACCTCGCCTCGAGACGAATCACGAAAATACCAAAATGGCCGAGAAGACCACTATGAAGATGAAGTGGGATCACGCAACAGAAGCAAAGGTAAATATATTAAATAAACTCTGGGCGAGCCCACTTTTCTATGAAGCTAATATTCTCATACTATTTCTGCTTTTACTCTTTATTACTTACACAAACCGGCTGCTGACATTTGTCTAGCTTTTCAGGCAAATCATCAAAAAAGCAAAACTAGGGAAGAAAGATCACGAAGAACTGGCAAAGGTGATGGGTAAGTTGAGTACCCCTCTTGTCTAAGAGATATTTTAGCGATGCCATGTCAGAAACAGTAGAATTATCAATTGTTACTTTCGCTAAACTGTGGGCAGGATGTACCCCCAGAGCGATCAGGGAACATATTATATGGATGCAGAAGGCCGCTCCGAAGGAGGAATCTGATGACGCTGGATCCCCTAGTCCAGTGAAACGTGCAAAGACTACATCTGAGAAGCGGACGCCGGCGAGCGAGAAGGTTGGAAGCAAAAAGAGAAAGAATACCAGCGACGATGATGAGAATGATCTACTTGATAATTCTCCCCTTAAGAAAGTCAAAGCTGAAGGCTTAGACTAAAATGAAATGTGCATTACAAAGATGACCGAACTTAATGGGGTATTTAACTTCAGGATACACCACTTGTTTTCAGCATTCATGGAGCTGTTGAAAGTGTGGCTTGAAAGTGCGTTGCTCAGACTTGAGCAGACAATGCATTAGTGAGGAAGAAAAGAATGTGCGTGCTGTAACTAGTAGAAGATATTGCGGTAGAACAGTACTATGCAGTTGTATGTATGTTAGCACAATCCAAGACTGATTCTATTTTCAGCTACATTATTAGAAAGGGTTGGGAGGCGAGGGTAACGGTAGTTGTTCACCGGATATTCATGAGAGATGTAGGCTTAGCTTATTTCACCATCTAGAAAGAATATATTATATATTATAGTTTGTTAAAAGCGATCTTTGAAAAGCAGCAGTATAATTCATTTCACTTAAAACATTAACAATCAAAATCACGTCCGGGGGTCAATTAAAAGAGTGTACCAGCTCATCGAGCCTTCCCTTTGGAGGTACCGCGATTAACTTGCAAGTCAAAAGAAGTAGAAAACAGATAGGCTTGGAGCAAAAGAAATTAAGTTAATTGAGAAAGCCAGAGAGCACGGAAACATTTAAGAACCATGTTAAACAGTAAACTACGCAAAGCTTAGAATATCTGGAAGCTATTATTCAGTAGAATCCCACTGACTAGAGGCTCAACATTTAAAGAATGCTGTTGTGTCAAGCATCCTCTGAGCCAACCTCAACCTTCATGAACATGGATATTGCCGTAGCTATCGTTGATTTCAATCTTTGTAGAGTAGACAAATTCACTGGCACTGCTTTCGTTCTGAGTTTCGTTATCTGTATCCTCACTGTATGTAGTCATGCCAAAAGGCAGAAGCGAGGGAACTCTTGCACGTTTAGATGGGGTGCACATGGTCACGGGCATCGCCATTCCATCAATTGATGAGTCAGAATAGTCGGTATATTCTTGTTTAATGTACTGGGCGTTCGGGGTTGGAGAAACGAAGGACTCAGTTTTGATAGTCTCTTTGCCGGTCGAGGCATCATCTCCGCGCTTTCGTTTTGCAGACGAACGGTTATGGGAGCTGGGTGTAGCTGGCTTTTGTGGAGTGGAGGTGGGATTTTGCCCGTTGCCGGTCCTGATGCGCGATCTGATTTTGACCAAACGCTCAGTAATCGCACGAGCAGTTGGCTTCGCCTTTGGGTCGTTGCCAGCTATCTAAAATTAGAACGTATAAATAAACCGGAGAGTTTAAGTAAGGGTCTCATACGCCATGCTTCCAATACCTTTGAGGCATTCACGCTTAGTTCATGAGTCTCCAGGATTTTGAGGAGCAGCTGATGTAAAAATGATGTTAGTAGAAGCTGCAAGAATAATTTTTAAAGCAAATTCTGACGGTAAGAACTATTATTACTTACTTGTTGATCCATCTCCGGGGTCCATTTGACTGGCATTTTTTTCCCATCAAAAGAAGTGAAATAGAATGCAAATATTCAAGCAATTTCTAACCGTAGAAGGCCGCTCAATAACGAAGAGAATTTAACGTGAAAAGAGAACCAGGAGATGGGAAGAGGTATATTGATTTAAATACTATGAGATAGAAGGGATATTGCAGCCTCAGTTCTGCGAAGAAAGTAGGGTTGAGAGAAAACATAGAAGTGGAGAGGAGAGAGTGTTAAGAGAGAGTGCGAAGAGAGAGTGAAGACAGAGAGTGAAGACAGAGAGTGAAGACAGACAGTGAAGCCAGAGTGAGGAGTGTTGTTCAAGTTGATAGAAGATTAACTTGAGTGAGCTTAAAGATTGAGAGAGAGTGTAAGTGAATAAAATTTGTTACAACATTGTAAAGTGTAACATTAACTGAGCAGACAATGGAATTCAGTGAGAGGAAGATCAGGGCAGCTTGAAGATTACAAGCTTAACAGAATTCAAAGCGAAATAAAAGATAAAGTCAAATGTCTCATTTTTCAATTCCTGGGTATTTTTGATCAGCCTTCTGGCTCAAGAAGGCTTGGGCTAAACACGAGTGATTTTATCCACACCATGAGGGCGTATCTCTACAGATGACACCATATTCCCAATAATTAGGGTTTGGTTGGAAGTATTGTAACCCAATCATCAATGCCTCGATGGATCCACAAGGCCGCCTTGGCAAAGCTTGCTTCAACCGCATCCCAACCCCGAGCACACTCTGGTCGGTATGCTTTTACAGGAAGCAGAAAACTTGACCTCGCTAAGTGCGCCACTTGACCTCATTATGTAAGCTGACCTCGTAAATGTGGCCTGTGCCACTACCTGATCTCGCTCAATACATCTTTTCTTGTAATTTGAAACCACTCTTTCTTTCTTAATTATTTATCATCAATTCTACAATTAATTTAAAATCAATTTAAAATTAATTTAATACTGAAATTATTCTTGAATTTAATAATAAAGTAAGTATTTATATAATTTACACTGAATTAATTATCAACTGATTTTCAATCAATTGTTAATTACTTAAATATACAGATTGAATTTATTTTATTACTATAATTAATTAATAATTAATTCAGAATCAATTTAAAATCAATTTAAAATTAATTTAAAATTAATTATTAAATATTTTTATCTTGAAATATTTTAAAATTCTGTAAAATATCTCTTTATATTCTATATGAATTTATTTTTTTATTTAATTAATTATAAATCAGCTATACATACTTTGATTAATTAATAAGCTGAATAAATAAAACTATAAGTGAATTAAAAGATTGAAAGTTAATTATTAACTCATTATTACTGTATTATATAAGATCAGAGTTATAATTATATAATGAGATTAAGTAATATACTTAGTAAGATTAAGTTTTCTATATACACTCTGTAATATAGAAAGTAGAAAACTTGATTTTATTAAGTATATTACTTAATCTTATTTAAACTGATTATATAACTATATCTGAAATCAGAATTAGATTTTTTAATAGTCTTATTATTATAAGAGATCTACACTGAATAGATCAGTATAATAGTAATAAATCTTATATAACAAAGAGAAAAACATTAAAGAAGAAAAAGAAAGAGAAAGTGTGAGAATCAGTGATTAAAGTGAATATTAATATGTATATAAAATGATATATACAGTGAAGCTTCAGAGTGAAAGAATTTATACACATTTATAATAACTGAGAATCAGTAATTGAGAATAGCTGAGAATCAGAGTATATACATTTATAGCAGCTAAGAATCAGTGATTAAGAATGACTGAGAATCAGAGTGTATATATTTAAGAATGAAGTGATTGAAATCTGTGAAGTGTAATAGAATAGTCTATATAATTAATCAGATGCAGCTTATTACATTAGTTTCTCTCTTTCAGAAGTAGTTCTTATCAGTTAAGAGTCACTGTTTCAGATAACACAGAACTCAGAGTTTAGATCAGTTAATTATAGTTAACTTATTTTATAAGATATTATCAGTCACAGCTGCAGAGTCTCTTATTAAGAATATTCTCAATCTCTCACTCAAGCTTATTATCTTCTTCTATAATACCTGATAGCTGTTAATCAGAAGTCAGTTGAGAAGAGAATAGATCAGTGATAGTACAGTAAAGTAAGCTTGTATAAAAGATATTATAAATCTCTGATAATATGTTAAGATAGTAGTTATAACTATCTAGAACTTCTATCACTTTATACTTAATATAATAATAATTCAGTGTATAAGATGAATATATAGTTCATATATTCTTAAGATTCAATTATATCAAGTCTTCTATCTTATATTATTCAGTGAGATCTTGATGAACATTGATTTAATTCTCTTAATCTTGTTTTACAGTTATCATGAAGATCTCTGCTCAGTCACAGATATCTCAGAGCTTTATTACTATATTATCAGTAATCTGAATTAGACTGCAGAGATTCAGATTGAACTATATAATCTCTAAAAGATTTAACACTTTTATGTGATAATTATATATAAGAAAGAACAGACTTATATCTATTAAAATAGTATCTTATTTATTGATAGTAATCTCTATATATAGAAGCAGATTATGTCAATCATCTTATAAGTAGTTATAGAACTTATAGAGATAATTCTTTACAGTCTGAATTATTCATTCTGATGCATCATTGATCTCAGAGTAATAAACAGTTAACAGACAGTGTATAATCTTGAGAACTTGACAGATTCTTGTTCAGAAGATACTTACAAATTAACAGTCTTAATTCAATACTATAAATCTCAGTAATTCATGTATTCAATAGAACAGGCTCTGTAGAAAAGCTTTAGTAACTTATTCAGTATTTATCTTATTACAAGATTTCAATATTACACTCTTACTTAATTAGTTCACAATAATCAGAACATTTCTATAACTCTTACTCTCAGAGAGATTAATAGTGAAGTTAATTATCACATCTTATCAGATTCTATTAGAGATATTGAGTGATTTTAGTTAGACTGACCGTGTGATCATGTCTGAGACCAGAATCAGATTGTTTGATAGTTTCATTATCAATTTGACTGATCTCATTACACGGTTTTAACATTAGATAGTAGTCTTATACTGTCTCAGTGAGACTTACTGTCTACTCTTATCACATTTTTCAAATAAGATCATGATTTTCACTTCTTAATTTAAATTATTTTTATTGCTTTAAATGACTTTAAATCTCATTTGAGTGTTACCAAAAAGTGTTACTTTTTAAAAAATTAAAAATAGTCAAAAAAAACCTTAAAATGTCTAAAAGTAGTAACTTTATGCTAAGAATGAGACTAAATGAAATCAAATGAGATCACTTTCTTATTTTTTTCAAGTCATGATTTCATTTTAAAATCTGATATATAGTCACTTTGCATGTTTTTTTAATGACTAGTCCCAGCGGGATTCACATCAAGAAATGTATGAAATCAGATCAAATGAAATTAAATGTAAAATTCATAATTCTGACAGTCAGTCTAATTTCAGTAGACCTTTTCTACAGTTCTTTTATAAAATGATAGAAGAATAACAGTTATAGTTTCAAATAAAACATCTGATACTGTTTAATATCTTAGATCAGTAAAACTCTTAAGAGATTATTCAGTACAATTATTTATAATCTGAGTGATTATTTATATATGAATTATACATCTCTTACATTATCTGAGTATATAAGAATTCAAAGTAAGAGACTCAATATTATTTACAGAACTACAGAGTATTATTATCATTAATTAAGCGTTTTGAGATGTCAATTCTTATACATAGTTCTGAGAAGAATCAGAGTGCTTCTTGACATACTGCTTCAGTAAGTACTTAAAGAAGTTTATCAGTTTAAGCTGTTATATGTCATAATTTACTCAGTGTAGATTCAGAAGAAGTTGAGATATCAGTATCAGTGTCAGTATCAGTATCAGTGACAGTTCAGAGAGAAAGTGTTCTAATCAGAGAAGTATATATAGTGTCATGAGCTGTTTCATCTTGATTAACTAATATCTTTAAATTCAAGAGCTGATGCTCTCAGTTCATTCAGTGTATATCTATTATATCAGATAACATATCTTACTCTTATTATAAGAGAGTATCTGTTATCAAGTTCTGACTGTCAGAACAGTAGTGTATTATAAAATAAAAGCAGCTTAAGAACTCAGATAATTATATCTATCATTCAGTGAGTTTACAGATAGTTATGAAGTACTTAAGATTCTTATAATCTGTGATTATCTCAAATTCAGAGACACTTCAGAGTTCAGAGTCTTATTCTTTTAGACAGTGTATAATTATAAGAAGTTTCTTATCATAGATCTTATAGTTGTATTCAGTAAGACTCAGTTTCTTAGATATGAAGATGTATGATTATAAAATATCTTCATTATTATATTATAATATAGCTTTCTCTATAATATAGTCAGAGAAATCAGTTTCAATAACTGTCTTATAATCAGAATTAAATATTATCAGTAATAAAGTATTAATAAATATCTTCTTTATTTATATAAATGTAGCTTCAGTGTCTGCTAATCATTGAAATACTGAGTTCTTCTTACTGAGTTCTGTAAGTGATCTTGTGATATCTGAGAAGTTTTATATAAATCACTGATAGAAGTTAGTAAATCTGATAAAGCTTTATACATCTTTCACAGTGCACAGAGTCTCTTATTCAAGAATAGCAGAGATCTTCTCAGAATTCATTCAGATTTTCTTGTCAGCTTCTATAATAAAGTCTAGATATTTTATACTTTTAATCTCAAAATCACACTTATCTATATCTATCAGTAGTTCTGCTTTTTGTAGTTATTATAATATCTTTCACACATATTCTTGATATTCTTTTCTGAATTCATCAGTGAAGATAAGAATGTCATTGAGATATACAGATACAAATTCATTAAAAAAGTCTCAGAGTACTCAGTTGATATACTTCTGAAATGTACTGAAGACATTAGTCAGTTCAAAGAGTGTGACTACTTATTCAAAGAGATTATA